CCCCCCAACACCCCCAGCCCCTCCACCTCCACGGCTCCCTGGGCCGTGACGGCGCCGCGGGCGCGGGGGCTGTGATGGGCATGAGGGAGTTCCTCAAGAAAGACTTCATGACCACCATCGGCAAGAGCACCTTCGTGATACAGGTTCGATATCCCCCATTTCTTTTTAATGCCAAATTTTTCGGGTGCGTGTTTGCGTGTGCATGTGCTTGAGTTCCTCAAGAAAGACTTCATGACCACCATCGGCAAGAGCACCTTCGTCATACAGGTTGGTGGCTGTTTGATTCTCTCTTGCTGCCCTTTGTTGAACCTCTGAATGAAACCAGAACCATCCCCGCCACCTCCCCTCCCGCCGCCCGTCCCTCGTCCCATGCTCCTCCTCCGCCCTGCCCTCAAACGCAACCCCAGGGCTTTGGCAAGGTGGGGTCGTCCCTGGCGCGACACCTCCACGACCTGGGGGGCAAGGTGCGGCTCGCGACATATGGGATGGTAGCAGCTTCCCACAAGCGCCCGCGTTTGCAGCCGCCTGCAACTCACGCACGCGCGCACGCAGGCGCACGAGCGGCGCCCCCGATCCCCTCGAACCCCGCGCCCCAGCGCCTCTCGATGCAATCAGCGGCGGGGCCTCCCCGTCAGCAGCAAAAGATTGCGGTCCGCCGCAGCGAGCGGGGCCAGGTCTCTATCTATGCACGCACACGATTGTCCACTCATTTCACGCAGCGTGCAGCCCAAGCATGTTTTGTGGTGCCGTCGGGGTGCGACCAACGCCCTCCCGACACGCGCACTCGTGCCAGGTGGTGGCCATAGCTGACAGCCGGGGCGCCACCTTCAATGAGGGCGGGGTGGACGTGCCGCGGCTGCTGGGGCACGTGTACAGGTGGGGGACGCTTTTTGGGTTTATGCGGGACTTTCAAGGGACATCTTAACCCTTTGAGGGGCCATTGACCCTTTGGGTGGCGGGGTGCTGGGGGTGCTGTGCAAACTGCCCTGCTCCGGCCTCATCCCACGCCCATGCATCCCGTCCCCCACCGACCCCCTGACCCCACACACACACCCTGAAGGGGCGGCAGCCTCTGGGACTTCAGCGGAGGGACACCCCTCCCCAGCGACGCGGGTGCGTAGGGGGGCGCCGCGGCGGGCAGGGGGCCGAGCCACTGGGTTGCCAATTGCAGCTCCCGCTGATCCCAGTCTCAGAGCGGCTTTACAGCCGCACAGCTGCAGCCGACTCATCTCGGACGTCACAGAACTTCCGACTGGAATGGCCGCGAACGTGAATGTGATAGGGTTGAAGGAGGCCGTGACGTACGGGATTTCACCTCCTGACCATGCGCATAACCGCCGTAGTGTACCCAACAACGCCTTTGCACCTCCCCCCCTGTTACCCCTCCCCCCCACCGCCCCCCAGACTTCCTGTGTATCCCGTGTGATGTGCTGGTCCCCGCGGCCCTGGGGGGCGTCATCAACGCGCGCACGGCACCACGGCTGCAGTGCAAGGTGGGCGGAGGGCGCGGCCTCAGCGGCTGTTGTTAAGGGACGGCCCTGCTGGCACGGCCGCCGCCTTCCAGCCGGATGCTCGCCCCCAGGCCGGCTCAGCAGCGCCAACCACGCACGCAGATCACAAAGCATGAGCGTGTTTATGCTTTTGAGAGCATTCACGGGACGCTCGCCCGCTCACGCTTTTCCAGCTCCTCTGCCACAGTCTTGCACACCGCACAACACCCTCCCTCGCCGCCGACACCCTCACCTGCCGCCACCACAACACCCACCAAAGCGCTCGCCATAGCACCCAGGTGGAGGGCCTGCCATCTCAAATTCTTACCCAAAACCGCAACTCCCCCGATAAACGTCACCCATAATTCCGCGGCTTGCTCCACCCCACTCCCACTATCCCCTATCCCCTCACCCCCCAGGCCGTGGTGGAGGCGGCCAACGCGCCCACCACCGCAGAGGGTGACGCCATCCTGCGGGCACGCGGCATACCGGTGCTGCCGGACGTGTACGCCAACGGGGGCGGCATCATAGTGTCCTTCTTCGAGTGGGTGAGTGTGGGCTGCCATTCCCTATTTCAGTCTGGCTGCCGCGCTTGTTGGTCTGTTTAACTGTCTGCCTGTCTGTCCGTCTGTCCATCTAACCGTTTGTTTGTCTGTGTGCATGTGTGTCTGTTTGTCTGTATGTTTTTGTGTTTTGTTTGAACTGGGACGCTCTCAGGGTCTCTGACCAAGACGACACACATCTGAGTGGTACCCCACTGTATCTCTCTTCCCCCCACCCCCTCAGGTCCAGAACCTCCAGAACTTCCGGTGGGACGAGGATGACGTCACGCGGCGCCTGGACAGGTGGGCAGTGGCCGCTGGGGGGGATGGCGGGTGCGGGGCGGCGGCTGCGCGGCCGACAACACCGCTGCTGGTGGCGCTTGGCTCGGGGGCCCTTTCCGTCGATTCTTGATTTACCACCCCACCCCCACCCCCACCCCCAACAAAATCCATCGCCCAGGTACATGACGGACTCTTTCCGCGACATCCACCGCGTTTCCAAGGACAGGGGCGTGCCCCTCAGGGTGGCAGCATACCTCACAGCGGTGCAGAGGGTCGCAGCCAGCGAGGTCAACCGCGGCTTCGCGGGGTGACATCACCTCGACTCGCCTGTCCGCCCGATAAGGTCCGTACCACAAGTTCCGTTCTTTTTGTCTGTGTGGAGATGATGTTTACTTTCAGTGACCATGCTGGGTGGGCCAAGCCGTTCTTGTCGAGCAGCCGTGCTGCAGCGGCCGGACATCAGAGTCTCAACGGCAAGAGCGAGCTCGAATCGCGGGCGCCAGGCGCGCGGCCGCGCGTCATGGGCGCGATTGTCAGGTGGCATGTCACATGCACTCTCCCTGGCGCTGCCAGAAAGCCCCTTTTTGGTCAGGAACCGGCCGTGGGTGCAGGCGGCCCGTGCCTGGGTCATGCATATTGTAATTCATAACCACCAGGTTGCATATGCATCTTTGTTGCTGCGTCGGTGCGCCGGGGATGTTGCGCTGGGCTGGGCCACGCCGAGACCTGTCACAGCACCCAGGCGATGCCTGCCCTAGCAGACGCAACTCGCCGCCGTGCAGCACCACGCGGGTGCCGATATACAAATGCAGTGCGGATACAGGCATGCACAGAGGAATCGGCTTAAGCTGGGGGCAGTACTGTGTCTCATGTACAAACCAGCATGGTGTGCGGCAACAACCCAACCGCTCACTGGTGAGCTGTTGGATAATTGTCAAAAGCTGCTCTGCATTCAGGACCTGAAGCAGGCCCCGATGTATCGCTCATTTTACCATTATCGTATGATATCGTCTTGTACCCACGCCGAACACTCGCAAAACGTCAGCTTGATCTACCCGAGTTACTCGGGTTGGCCAATGACGGCAGCCATGCGACCAGCAACAACCTACGCGTTGTCGATTATATTTCTGTATCTATTATCAGGCACCCAAACACTCGCGGCTGGTGCGCCACAAGGATGCGTGCGCGCGACTTTGTCGCTGCTGTTCGACGCCGCACCAACTGCAGCGGAGCGCATAGGCACAACCGCTGGCTCCGGAGCAAGGCGCTGCGGCTTGGGGCAGCAGCAGAATATTTGATTATTACTGAGCGTGTGTACCTGCAAATGTGACCAAGGCTGCAGCAACTTACATACATTCACGGCAACAGCCCCCTCCTCTCACCCCCAGTGTCGCCGCCCCCAGCAGCAAAGCCCCCCGCAGCGAAGCCAACAGCAGCCGCGCCCCCAGCCAAGTGCGGCGCGCCCAATGGCCCCTGCGGCAGGTCCATACCAGAGGGCTCCCCCTGCGCCGGCGACCCCGGCTTCTGCCAGGCGCGTCGCACGCGCGCGTGTCAGCACACGCGTGTGTCAGCACACGCGTGTGTCAGCACACGCGCGTGCGCATGTGTGTGTGCGCATGTGTGTGTGTGTGTGTGTGTGTGTGTGTGTGTGTGTGTGTGTGTCATGGTGGTGGGGCACGCGCGCGTGCTGGCACCGCCGCCGTGCAGCGCCGGCACGCGCCCCACCGACCTGCACCACTGCTCGAGCGTTTCTGGGCGGCTTAAACTCAACACCCGTCTCAAACGCAGCTGTCAGCAGGCATCTGACCTGGCCCCCCCCCCTGCAATTTCTGCTGCAAACACCATGGTCACCCTGAGCACACCACGATGGTCAACTCCCACAGGCCGGCCACTACTGCGCGTCGTGCGCCGGGAACGGCGCGTGGTGCAAGGACCAGCGGTCCCTGTGCCGCCCAGTGCCCAAAGGTTCGTGGGTGGGGCGTGGCGACATCCTAAACCCGTCATGCAGCGGCTTTTAGGATGACGGCAAAGATGCCAGTTGCTGGGGCGGCCTCTGGGGCGACAATACCCTTTGGGACGCCTGTGGGCCGCTGGTGTGCATTTGTTGGGGGTGGGAGTTGCAGGGGGGCGGGGTGTTCAACAGAGCCGCTCGGACACCCGGCTGGCGTGAGGCACCGCCGTCAATCCTGTTGACTGGGCCTGCACCGCCCACAAGGCACGCCTTGGGCGCCATGCGCGCCTCGTCGTTTGTCCCCCCCCTCACACACACAACAGGCTGCGGCAGCGCTGCGCTGGACCTGAAGGGCACCCCTTTCCTGTACAGCAGTAGGACGGGCTGCTGCCCCCCAAACGCGGTGGGTGCCAGCACCGCGGCGCCGGCCGCCAAGGGTCAGCCATGCGCCGTGGCTGGGCATGCAGTCTTGGGGCGGCCCGGCCGCGGGTGGAAATCGGTTTTGATTTCTCAAATCTGAAGGTCTCGCCCCAAACAGGGGTGGCTGCTGATGCAGCGGCGGCACTTTGTGCGGCCCCACGCCGCTGCCATGATCACTGGCGTGTCGTGCGCCTGCACCCTGCTCCCGCCGTTCGCTGGCACGGCTTGCAGCATCAAACGGTCCCGCACAAGGCAACCCAGAATCTGATCTGCTTGCAACGCCTGATGGACCCATGTGTGTGCCATTACGCAAGCACCCCGCCGACCCCGTCGTCCCACCCGACAAACCTCACCCCAACCGCCGCAGAAGCTGCCGTTCACCGCTGACCTCAACGCGCTGTACCCCACCTGTGCGACCGGCCTCACCTGCCGCTACTTCACACAAGGCGCGGCCGCGAGGGCGCACAAGAGAGCGCGCCGCGCCTGGGCCGATGCCTTGATTAGACAACCCCGGCCTAGCATCTGTGTCGCACACACGCGCAGCTGCGGTCCCGCGTGCCCCACCTTGCACGCCTTGTACCCTCACCCGCGCCCCCGCCTCGACACACCAGAGTGACTTGTCCCTCTGCGCCCTCCCACTCCACATGCAAGGGCATAACAGCGCTGCATATGCACCCTCGTTTGCACACACTCCAAATCATTTGACGCTCTGCCTCGCGCAGGCCCACGTGCGCACACACGCCCACGGCCCCGCACACACACACACACACACACACACACACACACACACACACACACACACACACACACACACACACACACACAAGGCGCACACACGTCCCTCACCGCAACCCCATGATTCCGCAGGCCCCTGGCGCAACAACCCTGGTGACCAGTACGCGGCCAACCTGCTGTCAACAGAGGCCTACGGCGCCTGCATCGCCGTCCCCTCGGACTGCGGGCGCCCGGGCAAGGCCTGCTGCCCCAACAGGTGCATGTGTGGACGACCGTCTGCTGCTGCTGCCGCCCCATGGGCTGGGTGGGAGTGGCACTTGATGCTAAAGGGGAGGGGGCGTAGGGCGTGCCCGGGCGCGCAGAAGCCTGTTGTGGGGTGTAGTGCTTATCAAGTGACGGCGGGAGCACTGCTGGACGGCGCCTGCAGCCAACCTCGTGCCGCATCCACACGCGGTGGTGGCCGCGCAAGCGCTAGCTCGACCCCCCCCCCCCTTCACGCACGCACGCACGTACAGACACGCACACATATGCACACACAGATGTACACACGCAAGCATATGCCCACGCACATACACACACACTCACAAACATGCACGCGCCTGCGCCCCACGCAAGCACGTGCAAACACAGGCACACACGCACCAACACACACACGTTCACACACGCACGCGCGCGCACACACACACACACACACACACACGCACACGCACACGCACACGCACACACACACACTCTCTTACAAACACTCTCTCTCTCTCTCTCTCTCTCTCTCTCTCTCTCTCTCTCTGTGTGTGTGCGTGTGGTGCACACATACTCTTACACACACACACACACACACACACGCACACACACACACACACGCACACACACACTGTTTGTGGCACACACACAAGCACGCTAC